TCTATCTATCTATCTATCTATCTATCTATCTATCTATCTATCTATCTATCTATCTATCAATTCATCATCTATTTACCTATCACTTATCTGTCACCTATCTATCAATCATCTATCTATCCACCCATATCTATCTATCTATCCATCATCTATTTACTTATCACTTATCTGTCACCTATTAATCAATCATCTATCTATCCACCCATATCTATCTATCTATCTATCTATCTATCTATCTATCTATCTATCTATCCATCCATCATCTATTTACCTATTACTTATCTGTCACCTGTCAATCAATCACCTATCTATCCATCCACATCTATCTATCTATCTATCTATCTATCTATCTATCTATCTATCTGTCTATCATCTATACCTATCTATCTATCTATCATCTGTCTACTTGCCTACCTATTACTTATCTGTCATCAATCAACCAACCAATCCATCATCGATCATTGTGATGGCACGCTGGCCCTTGCCCCTGCTAAGTAAACAACACCCCTCATCTCCACTTCTGCCTCTGAGCATCGTGTTTCAAACTTGTCAGTCATAAACCTAGAGGCAGAATCAGTCAGGTTCTTTGATGTGAGAGAAAAAGTTTGAAACAAAGGAAATTCTAAGATCCTCCCTGGCATATCAAGATGTATTTTTCAAGAATGAGGTGCATATTGTGAGCAGAGCTTGGGGCTCTGAGTATAGTTACATATCTAAGTGGGCCAGGAGAGGGTGTGTCTGAGATATGAGGTTGCTAGACAGGTCTGCAGGAGTTGAGGGCACACACAGTTAGGGAGATGGGAAACCTCTAATAACATCAGGGGATGGAGCCAGCAGGAACTGGCCACAAGTATGGTGTCTACCAATCACAACTGTGCTGGGGAGCAGGGACTTCCTGCTGGTCGCTCTTAACACTGAGATCAGCTTAGTCTCCCTTATTCGAAATGCTTTGGACCTTGACTTCTTCAGGTTTTGTGTTATTTTTGGATTTTAGACTATTTGTATATAATTATCATTTAGAGATGGAACCCAAGTCTAACTGAGCCCATTCCCTATGATGAGATGCCATACTCAGCCTTAATGAAAGGGAGAGGGGCTTGGTCCTGCCCCAAGTTAATGTGCCAGACTTTGTTGACTTCCCATGGGAGCCCTTACTTACCCCTTGGGAGGAGTGGATGGGGGGTGAGGAAGCGAGAGGAGGTGGGAGAAAGGATGGGAGGGAAAACTGTGGTTGGAATGTAATTTAAAAAATTAATAAAAATAAAAGTCATTAAACTTCATACCTATCTGATGGCATGTGTCTGTCTGTGTGTGATGTATATACATGCATAAGTGTGTTTCAGTACATGCCACAACATGCATGTAGGGGTCAGAGACAAACTCTGGTGTTAGCACTCATCTTCTATCTTGTTGGAGGTGGGGTCTCTGTTGTTTGGTGCTGCCATGGCTAGCTGGCCCGGCAGCCTCCTTCCGTGGATTTTCCTGGGTCTGCCTCCCTCCCATCTCTGCAGAAGGCCTAGGAGTACAGACATGAGCGACCATGCCTGGCTTTATGGGGTTCTCGGCTCCTCACCCTTGTGCATCAAGCACTTTACTTACCGGGCTACCTCCCAACCTCCTGGCAGTAATTCTGTACAGTTTTTAAAGCAGCCCAAGGGTCCTGGTGTGGAGTTTTCCACCTGCGGCCCCATGGCGGCCCTCTTGGTGGGCTGCAGACTTTAGAGCATTTGGATTGGGGTACTCAAGCTGCTATGTTCTTGTTGCCTCTGAATGTTACGTGTGATTTTCTGCTTTCTTTGGCTTCTCCAGAGAAAGGGAAGAAGAGAGGCCTGCAGAGGATGCCTGGCTTAGACTACAGTGGAGGCAAATGGGAAAATAAGGAACACAGAACCGCTTCTTTCCAAGGGGGCTCCTGAACCTTCTGAAGAGCCTCCGAAAGCTATTTTTAGCTTCTTTTGGGCACAGAATCTGGCTGGCCTTGAACTTAATAAGCAGCCTTGAATAGCCTTGAACTTCTGACCCCCTTTCTTCTACCTCCCAAGGGCTGGCATTACACGTGTGAACTACCACACTGGGTTTACATAGCCCGGGGAATGGAACTCAGGGCCTCATGGATGCTAGGTCTACCTATTGAACTGCAGCTACAGGCCCCTGAAAGCTAATTTGATGGCAAACATGCGTAGGTTCCAAGTTTGTCTCCCTGAAATGCTTTGTGCCATGTGGTCTGTGGAAGCAGAAGGGGCCTTGAAGAATGAGTTTGTGTGGCAGAGAGGGCTCAGTCACCAGACAGCACACAGCACTCAGATACTTGCTGCTGCGTTTGACACTAGGTCCCCCATCCACCCCACGCTTCCACAGCTCTTGTGTGAGACAACACAGAAGTCTATTTGTAGCCTAAACACAGCTGCATGTGGGGAGAGTCGCGCTGGAACTTCAGAGTAGGACCATTAACAGCGAATTGTAGAATTTCATACACTTAGGACGGGCCCACTGCCAGATGTACTCTAGGGTCATTTTTTTCCCCCTTGTACTTCACAGCTGAATGAATCAGTCTGAAGTATCATTTTCAACACATCACTAAATCACATTCCCTTTCTCAAGGGTCTACAATAACCTCCTATTGCCTCTTAGACAAAATCCAAATTCCCAGACTGGCATTCAAGAGCCCATCGTCTGGTATTGGAACCATCTACCATCGCTAGAGCACCTACAGCGTGCCTCCCACTTTGCATACCTCCTCCAATTTGATCGTTACAGATAAGAAACGCTATCTCTAATTTGTGGATGAGGCTCAGAAAGGCTAAGTGATACCGCTGTGGCCGCACGGTTCCCAGGCTCTGCCAGGTGTGCAGAGTGGGTTCTCTGCGCTCGCTGGCTCCCCTCCCCTGGCACTCTCTGAGTCGCCTCCTGAAAGGGATCTTATTCTTTTGAGAAGCGTCGGTCCTGAACCTAAAACAAGAGTTTTAGATACGCTTCTCAGAGAAAACATGAGTCTTGGCAGACAATGTCCGCTGTCTTCTCGGACACACAGTGGCAGAGCCTTGCGGTGTTTGTTTCATGGGCATGTGATGTGGGGCATCAATGCAGTCTACACTTCTTTTAGGCTTGGGCCATGCGCCAGGGCTGGGAGCTTGATGGCCATGCTCCTGCTCTCAGTCTATACTGCTTATTTCTCAGAGATTAGGGAGAAGTGCTGGAACTGTGGCTGTCAGGGTGGAAGGGAGGCCACTGCGGTCACGGAAGCTCTAAAGACAGTTCAGTGACCATGTAGGGGACAACCTGAGACTTCGCATTCCAGCTCACTACCATGCACTGGTGATACCCAAATCCTGAGGTTAGCACTGAGACCTCCACCCAGGGTTTGGATTTGTTTTCTGGTGGCTCACTGGGTTCTACGTATGACCAGAGCTCTCTGCCCTAGCACATACAAGCTCACCATGAACATTCCCACTTCATTAACTCCTTTACAGCACACACTGCCATGTGGCATGGAGGTGCCTGATTAACAGCCTGTGCTGCTGTTAGTACAAGCAATGTGTTTCACGGTTCTGCTGACTGTAAAAAGGAATCTGTAGTGGGCTTTTCTAAAATGTGTTTTCTGCTCAGGTACTTCATGAAGACCTGTCATGGTCAGATCCACTAGGAACGGTCACAATGGAAAATGGAGTTTACAAGAGCAGGATCTAGGGTTCAGAGGTATCCAGTATAAAGACACGGCATTAACCCGCCTTATCCAAGAACCCATATGATGGGACCAGGGTCTTGCTGTAGGGACTTTGGCAATCCTGGGCCAGGAAACCCTGTGTGCAGTCAATGTGGCAGCTGCATGGAAAAGCAGATCCTACCTGTGAGAAGCATTGGCATGAAAGAGTATATACAAAATGCTAGGAAAACCCATGCAAGAAAAACCAAAGGAAAGAAATGAGAGGCTGAGAACAGTCCAGCATAGGGCAGCCCAGAGGGGATACAGCTCTGTACATGCTGACAGAGGCTTTTATGTGATGACGCTCCAAAACCTGGCCTGGCCATGCTGGGGTGATTCATAGACAATGAAATGGTTTTCAGCAATCATATTCAGAAAGAACGGTTTTAAGGAGTCTCTGTGGGGCACAAGGAGCTTTCTAAGCACTGACAGAGTGGAGGAAGAACGTGAGGACATCCAAACACACATGCTTCCTCTACTCCCAGGAAAAGGATGATCTGCAAGAGAAGTGAGGGCCAAGGCAGCAAAAGTTGAGTCTGAGCAGTGGACTGAGGAGTGTGGTTGTCAGGAGCTGGCCCATCACATGAGGCTTGTGATACAGGGCTCTGTGATGTCTGCCAGGCCGTCTAGGCCAGCCACCTCCAAGAGAAGCAGAGTCTCGTTGCTACGTAGGACGGTGATGCTTATCTCCCACACAATGTTTGTTCCTACAGGCTACGTGTCTGTGCTCACCTTGGGTTAAAGGGAGAGGCTCAAAGAACCTGACTCTTATTCCAACAAGTACGTACATCCTTTGCAGCAGAAAGGAAGACTGGGTAGTGTGGTTAATGCATTACTCAGCTCCTGCTTTCCCTCCACAGAGAAGGACGGAAGTGGAAATCTCATATGCTCTCTCAATTCAGACTTCAGAGGCCCCCCTCTTTAGCCAGGGACTTCTGAGCTCTTCAGAAAGAACTGACAAAAGCCTGCATCCACCGCCCAGAATTGCAGGCTTGATGCTTTGACAGAGCACAGTCCTGCTCTCCAGCCAAACTCTAGGCAGCTCAGGAGCCCTAGGATTCGTGTTTCAGTGTCTTTCGAAAGCAAGGCTAGTCACTTGTGATTTTAACCAACCAAGTCACAGAGCAAAACCAGCATAGGCTTCACAGACCCCGCCCCTTTCGGTTCACCCCACCCCTGGCTGGTTACTGTCCTGGGATGCAGCACTTTTCTTTCACTTTCTCTACTATCCCCTTCCTCTCCTTTTCCCTTTCTGATAGCAGGCACTGAACTCAGGGCTCTGAGCATGCTAGGCAAGTATGCTAGCATGGACTGTACGCCTAGCTCTGTTATTCTTTATAATTCAATATTCTGGAGTTTCTCAACAAACTGTGTGGTACAAGGTGCACACTAATAAAGCTCAATTATCTCCTGTATTTTATTCTCTTTAATTCCTATGCCTTTCTATTTCAGATAACTCCCACTGGAATGCTAGCTCTGGGCAGACAGAACATTTTCTGTCATGTAACTTACATTCCCAAGCCAAGTCAAGCCAAGTACTACGGCTGATGGTTATCGCTATTTATTGACTAAATACAAAATGAATGAATGAATGGTGAGGGAGGGATAGTGGCTTAGATTCTGGGAATAGTCAGGATGAAATAAATAGGTAGTGTAGCTAAGGCCTTTGATCTTATGTTTATGGACAGAGGCAGATACAGAGACATACACAGCTGGGTAGACAGGTGGGAACTTCGTGGAAATGAGAGAACACGCTTCTGAGAAGGCTTATTTTAGGATGAACGGCGAGCTTTGCCATGATGCAGAAAGGGGCCGGAGAGCAAAGAAGGGTTGTGGGGGCATAGAACAAAAGCCTGCATGGGTGTGAGGGGCCCTCTGTGAACTTGTAATGGGGACGTAACTCTTCCAGGGGTGGCACAGGCATGACGCTGGGTGGGCATGCTCCACAGGTGCCCACACCTGCTTTTCACAGGTAAACTTTTCACGAGTGGGTCTGCCTTCGTGTTTCAGGGCCTATTTGGGATCTCGGCCCCTTAGCACAGAGGGTGTAAACAAAGCCTTTCACCCCACAACCCATAGTGATGTCAGCTGTTTATATTCTCAAGAGGAGGCAGTTTTATTCATTATTTGGAAACCAAAGCCTGCTCCACAGGCCTGAGGACCTGGTTCTCGGCCCCCACCCAAGAATCCCTGGACTCTGAGTTACTGTTTAATTTCCTCCATTTCACTGAAAGTAGAAACAGCAATGGTTTTTATTGGTACCTTATAATGTTTTTATATGAGGCACCTAAATCTTCCCCTTAGATACCGATCACAGCTGTAAAAGGTTTCATTACTATTTGTAGGTGGATGCTAATTTTCCCTTTCTATTTTCACAAAGAAAACATAGTAAGGGCGGTTTTATTAATATTTATAGCTCTTGTTCTTCTGATCCGTGACAAACTGCAGAAAGGTAAGATTCTAAGCATGCCCAACGCATAAAACTCTTTGGCCTGTGATTTATGGGTAGTCACACTTCCCAAGTGACAAACTTCTCTGCCTGGTTATTGCCTGGGATGACCCTGAGGGGGAGACCCCAGCCGTGGGTTATTTCCTGCCAGTGATGTTTATAGCATATGTGGAAATTTCTGGGAGCCGAATAGAGATTTTTAGACAGTAAAAGCTGATGCTTTGTATCTGAAACGAAGCGGTGTCATCATGAGACAGGGAGAAGGGGACACAGCGGGGAATAGAGAGCCGAGTCCCACAGCCCAACAGCTTGTTCCAGGTTGGGGGATAGCAGGACGGTGGGGTAGGCAGGCAGTATGAAAGCCAGGGCCGGAGAGTCGCTGGCCTTGGAGCCGGAGCGGGAGTCAGCAACGGCTGCCTACCTCGGGGCTGGAGCAGTGTGGAGGCTTGCTGCCCTCGCTCTCACTGGAGCTGCTCTCGGTCTCGGAGTCGGATCCGGAGCTGCTCTCTGAGTCGCTGGAGGAGCTGCTGCTGCTGCTGCCACTGCCGCTGCTGCTGCCCTTGCTGGATGGCACGGAACCTCTGCAGTTGGTCTGCTGGACCAGGGAGCTGCTGGTCCACCAGGCCCCCCAGGAAGGAAAGGGAAAGAAAGCCAAATGAGCAAACAGGAAACACCAGCAGGCTGCCATCCTGGCAAAGGCAGGGGGAGGCGCAGACTGCACACATCTGTCAACCAGGACCCAGACTCACAGGGCAACTGGCGAGGCCCAAAGCAGCCAAAACCAAACAAAATTAGACACAGAAATAAACCCAGAAGGAGCAGTCCCTTTGGTCACCGGGCACTGGCTAGATGTGTGGCGACTTCAGAGGAAGGGGCTGTCCCAGCCTAGCACTTGTTTCCATGTTGCTGCTGTTCTCAGAATGTTTTTTTTTTTTCAAATGCATCTCTGGTTCTAAACACTTACACAAATTCAAGAAAACCCCAAAACCTCAAAATATTTTGCAAACTGTCAAAAGTAACATTATCTTTGCTTTAGAGGGCAATGTCAGATGGCAAGGAGGCTGCCAGGAAGGCCATAGGGATCTGCTGTTTCATGGCCTGCTGGAAGCTTCCAGAGAATTTGGGACTGTCAAAAGTTAAATTGCTTGCTTCATTCTTTTTTCCCCCCACTGTAGAGTCCAGTGCTGTTAGTCATTACGGGTGCTGGCGTGGTGTGTGAACGGTAGCTTCTGAGTCCTTCACGGAAGAGCTGGTGATCCTTCACAAACACATCTATACATCCTACATTTAAAAGAATCACCCCCAGAGCAATGGCTTTATAGAAACGGCATCTCCAGCTGACACCCAACGATGACACATCGTCCCTCTATGCTCAGCGACAACAGGGATATCTGATCCATACTTTCAAACAGTAATTAATTAACCACCAAAAAATCCAGATATCAGGGATCCACCGAAGAGTGTTTCAGTCAAAAATAAAATGTCAGTACTCACATATAATTCAACCTTTTCCAGGCCATCTATGAAACTAAAACTAAACATTACTGAATGGGTCCCTCTGAGGTCAAGCTTTAATCTCAGAAAATGCTGCTCACCTTTGAGGTGTTGAATCAGCAACAGTCTGTTTGCCACTTCCCAACTGTGATTATAGGCTTCTATAGGACTGAACTTCCATGATGGATGAGGTTTGGGGGCTCCTTAGGGTTTATGGTCTCAAGTGTCAAGGAGCTCAGGCATGGTAAAGGCTTCCTTCCACCCATCCCTTAAATCTCAGAATGCTTTGCCCTAAGGGGAATCTCATAAATTCCCCTTTGTGGAGCTGGGAGGAGAGAAATACTGGAGTCTCTGCTTCTCTTACGGAAACCACAAGAAAAGAAACCATCCCAGGGAATCTGGCCATAAAAGCATCTTTGTGACTGGCAGAGTTAGGGAAGCTGGAACTTGAACATAAACGCCCATGCTGGCTTCCATGTCTCCCTGCCAGTGCCTTGGTCTACACATACTACCTGCCTGAATCCTTCACCATCACATAACACCTGCAGGGTCGCGCTTTGTCTCAGCGGCAGAGATCTGGTTTCTATCCTGTCACTAGTGTCTGACATTGAGGAAGGGATCTGGGATTTTGAGATGGAGAGGAAAAGAGACAATTCATGTTCAAGGGACTAAATAATATCATTTCCTCACGAGTGAAAATCCACCCTCCAGGTGACTGAATGGGTGACTGAATGGCGATGACTATTGCCATGGGAGGGGGCTGCTATCAATGGAGTTATGGGGGGGGTAGGGGGCTGAACATCGGGGCTTCATAGTCATAGTTTTTTGGTTGACCCCTAAAACACACTGGGGTTCTCTCTCTCTCTCTCTTTCTCTCTCTCTCTCTCTTTCTCCCTCTCTCTTTCTCTCTCTCTCACACACACCACCACCACCACCACCACCACCACCACCATCACCACCAATAACAACAACAACAAAACACATAGGGAACAAAGTTGCGCATAGCCCAGGAGATTTTTCCTCATGAAAAAGATGGTGGGAACAGGCAGCAACCACAGAGATGGGTCTCCGTGCCATACTCTAGGGTGACATTTGCTGAAGGCCAGGAAATAAAGATGAACGAAGATTATTTTGATCAGTTTTATAAAATTATGGTCAACGCCCTCAATCAGTACCTGTTGCTTGTTCGAATCGATACTGTGTAGATTGTACAAGTGCAGCCAAGGTGGATGGGACTCCCCATGGCCTGTACCACAGGGTGAAGGGCTGTCTTTTGAAGGGCGGGGCTTTCATTTCTGGGGACACAGTCACAGGCTGCCTTCCTTTATTGCCGTTCTCCTTTGAGGGTGAGACCCGTCAGCCCAGGATGATGACAGCCTAACCACTGATCTGAAATAGGCTGGCAGAACAGCCTCGCAAGTCTATGTCTCTCTACCTTAAATCAGGAAACCGATTTGAGATGGCAATTTTACTGGCATAACTATTTTATTTTTAAAATAGTCTGGGGGATCCAAGGACTTAGAGCTGAAAGGTTCACAATACCTCTGGGGCCAGGAGTGAATACACAGACGGCCCCTTTATGACGGGCGTTTGACTTCAGGGTTTGGGTATGGCACCGTTATGTACTCAGGAGAAACGGCCTCCTTCTTAAAAAACAAAACAAAAGAAATCAACCCAAACAAAACAAAGTCCCTCAAAATTAAAAGCAAAGTCTTTAGGGTATCAGAGTTTAGCATAGCTCAGTAGGAATGGGTATCCACAAGCATTCCAGAGTGGATAAGTACATGGAAACTAAGGACTTAGCTGATGTTAAGAGGTCTCACTTTCCACAAAGTTACAATCTCTTGGTTCTAGTATGAAAAATGTGAGGTGATTTCAGTGCTTTTCCCAATTTTCAGCATTTCTTCCTTTCAGAGAATATACCTTTTAATGTATTTTAAATTCCACTTGTTATAACTTAAGCAGGCTCCCTAGTAAAGTTTAAAGTTTCCACTTCGGTGATTTCATGAACTGGTCTGCTGTTGTCGCAGGCATCTGGACTCAGATGTCTCAAACACACCTTTGAGATAGGCCCAGCTTTATTCTGGGGGATGTGCTTGCTAAGGCCTTGACTTAGTTGACAATAACGCATCCCTTCTAGAACCTGGCCCAGGTCTGAATACAGGCCATAAGAGAAAAGACCCAAAATGGAAACAACACACCCTCGATCTCACAGGAAAGACTGAATGAGAACCCCTGGCTTTCACAGCTTCCGAGTGAAAAATGAAACGGGCCCTTTAAAAACACGACCACCACAATGTGCTGAGACCCACTTAAGTTACTGGTATTTATTAGCAGTCTAGTCCTTGTTGCCCAGTCATATTCCATGGTCATTTGACCAATCATCCATGGAGGGACATTTTGGCTGTTTCTAGCACTGTGCTGTTAGAAATAAAATTGCTATCTATTTTTGTATAACGTTTTGTGTAGATGTCAATATCAAGCAATGTGCTGATTGAGTTTGAGGATAGGTCACTTTTTGGAAAGATACTTTTAAACTACTTGAATACATAAATTAACTACTCGAATACATAATTTTTTATTTTATGTGTTTGAGTATTTTGCCTGCATGTATGTCTGTGTACCATGTACATGTCTGGTAGCCCCAAAGGCAGAAGAGGGCACAGGATCCCCTGGAACTGGAATTACAGAAGTTTGTGAGCTGCTAGTCAAATCTGGGTCCTCTGGAAGAGCAGCCAGTGCTTTTACCCACTGATCCACATCTCCAGATCTTGAACACATATTATATTTTCTCTCTTTGCTGTTAGTTGGTGTCAGCCTTGGGGGAATTGAGATGTTTATTATTACCTTACTCTGCATTCAGTCTCTGGTAATTTATTTTACTTTCAAGTTGACTTAACTTGACACTAATATGGCGACCTCTCTCTTTTAAATTTAATTTTTATTTCTTTTAAATTAAAAGCTTAGTTGAAACCCAGCAGTTGTGAATATTTACAAAACACATGATGACGTTTCAACATAGGTGTCCACTATGTAACAGTCACATCAGGAGAACGGCATTTCTAACGTTGCTTCAATCATCAGATGCAACTTACAAAGTCTGCCAGAGGAAATGAAGGACGAAAATGACTAAAATTCACTATATATGTGCATGAAATTGACAAAGAATAATGAATACATAAATAAGAATGCCCAAGGGAGGGAATATTTCTTAGAATTATGTTTCATATTTTCTTTTTGCTCTGTTCTTTGGATATGTCAAGGTCCCTTCTCCCCTCATGGAAGACGTTCCTTCAACTGTCTTTAGCCTTTAGGGTGAATCTGCTGGTTTTCCTGTTGAAGCGTCTGTCATTCCTGAAGGGTTTCTCTGGATATAGACTGACAGTCAAGACAGTTTTCTTCCTTCAGCACTTGAAAAATGATGTGTGGGGGGCTGGAGAGATGGCTCAGAGGTTAAGAGCATTGCCTGCTCTTCCAAAGGTCCTGTGTTCAATTCCCAGCAACCACATGGTGGCTCACAACCATCTGTAATGAAGTCTGGTGCTCTTTTCTGGCCTGCAGACATACACACAACAGAATATTGTATACACAATAAATAAATAAATATTAAAAAAAGAAAAAAAAGAAAAAAGATGTGTGACTTTCTTGTGGCCGCCACGACATCACGGTCCAGCGTCACTGAAAGGGCTTGTACAGCTTTCCCTACACGTGCGGTTGTTATCTCTCACTGCTTAATTTTTTTTTTTTTTTAAAGACAGTATCTCCTGTAGCCTAGGCAGGCCTCAGACTGACTATATAGCTACGGAGGATGATTCTGATCCCCTGGTCCTTCTGCATCTGCCTCCTGGGTGCTGGGATCATAGGCATGAACCACCACTGCAGGTGTAAGTGGTGCTGGGGAAGCAAACCCAGGCTTTGAGCATGCCCGGCAAGCATCCAAACAGCTGTGTCGCACGTCTACACTCAGGATTTGGCCTTCGTTGTTGAAAATCTGACTGTCGAATATGCATCTCTAGGCATACGCTGAGGTGCTTCCAGAAGAGCCGAGGAGAGATGATGCTGAATGTGGGCCCCAGGTTGAATCAGTGGGAAGTGGACACACTGAGGTCAGCTG